GTGGGCGTGGGCCTCTCTGGCCTCAGCCCCCTTGAGAGAGGCTTCTTCCCAGGGTCCCTTGTCCTGCACCCAGATGGCCTGCAGCCGGGTTTCCGACAGGCAGCTCTAGTGCCCAGGGGATCGACGGGCAGCGGCCACTGTCACCATGCACTGTCGCCTACCCACAGAGTCCCGTGGTTCCCCGGGCAGCGGGGGGCAAGAGTCAGCCCAGGTCACACTGGAATGCAGGCTGGAGGCCAAGGCCTTGCCCAAGTCATGGTGGCCACCTGGTACCGCCAGGAAGGGAGCCCTTCTGTCCACCTGCTTCCACGGAGCCAAAGAAGGGAACCCCACAGGCACCTGGGGTGGCCGCGTGGTGGGTGACCTGCGCTTCACGGCACTGCCCTGTGCAGGGGGGCTGCTCTCGCCCTGGGGTCCTGCTGGGGAGTCGCGATGGATGTTGCTGTGTTGAGTTCCAGTGACTCAAGGCCGGCAGCTTCCTGAGCTCAGTGCAAGGGAGACGCAAGGGCAGAGGACTGGGCCCCTGGGCCAGCCTGCCTCCCCTGCCCCACCCCTGCTGGGCCCCGGCTCCCTGCCCGCCCTCCATCTGGATGTGGGACCCATCTCCTCCTGCTGGGTCCAGTCCATGAGCAGCGAGCACCCGCTGGGCCTCCCAGGTGGCCTCCCCTGAGCCTCTGGGTTGGCCTCCTCGGACCCAAGCAGGCTCCTCACTCCCTGCAGGTCCCTTGAGCCCTCGCTGCCCTGCCTCCAAGGGCAGCCAGCCCTGGCCACCATGATGCTCCCGGACAGGCAGGTGCCCACGTGAGCGTGTGAGCGAGGGTGCACATGTGTGCCCACGGGCACTTCCTGGTGGCCACCAGTCCTGAGCCTGGATCTGGTGTTCTCACCCCGAGGCGGAGGTAGCTGCATTGCCAGAGCCCAGGTGGGCCTTGTGAGACCCACCCTAACACAGGAGGCCCCTGAACACATGCTGTGCCTCAAGGGCAGCTGGTGAGGTCAGGGCAGCAGGGTGGGTGGGGGTGGGGGGAGGGCGGGCACCCTGCCACGGGCCTCAGGGGTGCTGCATGCGTGTGGGGGCAGCTGCTGTCCTGGGTGCAGCCCCGAGGTTGGTTTCCCACGCCTGGCTCTGCCCAGGTATTCAGTGCTGAGCACATGACGCAGGGCCCAGCTGTCAGCGGCCCCAGGAGAGCTGTCTGAGCACCAGAGGCATCTGGACGGAGGTGGGGCTGGACGGGGCACCCCTGACATGAGTCCAGGGCCCCTCAAGCTGGCCCGAGTCCCCTGTGCATACGTGCCAGGGAAGGGCCTCTGGGGTTTCTGTTCTGAGATTTCCCAGAGACAGTAGGAGGCGTAAAATCACATTAGCGCAGTGGGTTTTCAAGTGAAGAGACTTCTCTGGGCACTTCCTAGACACCCCCGAGCGTCATGGGGATTAATTTTGGGAACAAGGCCTTGCTGAGGCAGATGTTTGCATATGGTGCCCCTGCCTCGAGAGGGACAGAGCGGTCAGCTGTTTGAAACTGAGTTCTGATCTCAAACAAGCAGCCCTGCCCTTTGGACGCCATCGATTGATGACTACCCTGCAGCACGGCAGGGCCTGGGGAGGGTGGCGGTGACCTCTAGCACATGGTGACCTCTAGCAAGCACATGGCCTGCAAAGATAGGCAAGGGGGACTCAGGCAGAGGGCACCACTGGTGGGCAGAGCACCAGGGGTGTAGCATGAGTGTGCACGGACCCGTGTGGTTACATGTGAGCATGTGGGTGGGCTGCCAGGGTGCCCTTGTGATCACATCTGAGCCTGTGTCTGAGTGTGTGAGCGTGTGTGCATGACTACCCCATGAGTGTGTGTGTGAGCGTGTGTGCATGACTACCCCATGAGCGTGTGGGCGTGACTTCCTGTGAGCGTGTGTGTGAGCGTGTGTGCGTGACTGCCCTGTGAGCGTGTGTGCGCACACGTGTGTTCGCTGCCTGGTGCTGTCCTGGCTCTGCCTCCTCCTGGCCTCTGTGCCTCGGTCTCCTCATCTGCAGAAGGCCATGCAGCGCTCTGCAGGGTACCGGCCAGCTGGTGTGAACAGTGCCCAGCGCGGCGGGCCTGGCAGTGGCCTCTCCTCCTCCTGGGCTCGTCCTGGTGCATGCCTGCCACGTCCTGCTTGCTGGCCGTGGACAGCAGCCTGTCTGTCTTCTCTGGAATGCTCTGGTCTCATTCCCAGGCCTCTGACTGAACCCAGGCTTCAGCCCAGGAGCCCAGGCAGGCCACTCCTTGCCATGCTGCCCTCTGTCCTGACTTGGACTGGGGCTCGGGCACTGGGTCCCTCTCTCTCTGGGGGGTCACTCTCTGAGGGTGTGGCCCAGGCACTGAGGACCCAGAGGAGACCTGAGCACCGGCCTGGCATGGTGACCAGCAGGGAAGTGACGGTTGAAGGGTGGGGTCGTCACATCTTGGGTACAGGGTCAGCCTGCTCCAGGAGGAAATGGGTGCACAGGTGTGGGCTCACCCTGAGCCCCGAATCTGTACTGCCAGGGTCCCGGGAGCAGTCCCAGCACCCCAGGTCTGTGCCCTCGCCCCACTGCCCCGGGCTCCGTCTGGGGGGCCCACCTGCCCCAGGCCTCGGGGTGAGGCAGCGTGACCGTTGGGCCAGGGGCAGTCGTGCAGCGAGAGTGAGCAGGGAGGAGCAGCCTCTGCGCCAGCCAGTCCCTGGCTTCGTTCCTACAGAGGTTCCCATCGGTGACGCAGGACTTCACGGACGCACCAGCACTTCCAACTGCTGGATCATCTCAGCTGGTCTTGGCTTCTCAGACTTATTATTTAAACCTCAAAGTGAGCAACTCTTGGTTTCCTTGCAAAAGCCCATGTTCCCACAGCCTGCCTGCTGGCCAGGGTGGGTGGGCTTCTGGGGAAGCACCTTTAGCACTTGGAGGGTCCCTATGCCGCGGTCCTCTGTGCTCAGAGCTGCTGATATCACAGACACGGGGCGAGGCACTGAGGGAGCTGGTCCCAGTGGGCTGTGCCCCTCCTCTCGAGGATCCTATCCCACCAGCACCCAGGGCCGTGGGGCCTGGCCTCCTGCCCTCGCCTGGACCCGCCTGGAGTGGCTGCACATCACAGAGGAGGCTGGTCGGGTGGAAGAGCACCACACTGGCAGAATCTCAGCACCAGCCCCTGCTGCAAAACATCCACCCCAGCTGCTGCTTTCTGGCCACTCTGTGGTGTCCCTGAAGTACTGAGTCTTCCCTACCTGCGGTGGTGTCTACCCACCGCTGCAGCCTTGGGCTGACGTGGGCTCGCCTGGGCAGACATGATCCTCATGGCTCACCTGGGCTGATGTGGGCTCACCTGGGCTGACGTGGGCTCACCTGGGCTGACGTGATCCTCA